GTACTCACTTCAGTGTAATGCATTAAAACCAGAGAGCTCGGGAACAATTTAGCAGATCATTTTTTAAGTTAATTAACAGTCACAACTTCTAAATGTGTTTAATAAAAATGGGTCAAAAATGTAAAAAGAAAATTTGAACAGAGTTACAGATGATAAACCTTAAATGCGTATGGCCTTACAAAATTCAGAATCATCTGACTTAACCTTGTTTTAGTCTTAAATATTAGGATACTTAGCCATTTCAGCTAAACATTTCTAAAGTATAACTAAACTAAATACACATAAACACAAGAGGATCTGTTTAAAATACAGGTTAATGAGAATATATGCAGCCATTTGCAAGATGTGTTGATGCATTTCGTGGTACAGATTTGCTACAATAGACCAATATTTAGTCGCACACGAAACAAAAACGAATGCCACAGTGGAGCAATTTCATCTCTCTCGTATGAATGAATAAAAAACAGAGCAGAGAAAAACAGATCTAAATTCCTGATACTGTATTTCCTTAGAAAAAACAACTGAGAAATCCCACAGCTTATCTAGAAATAAGGGGTAAGTCGAATGTTTAAATGCTTTCCTAGTTAATGTGTTAAAAGTTTAACGATGTGGTCTAGCTACACAGATAGGATTTGCTATGATATCCGTCAAAGTTTATTTTCTGTACACTTGATATTGTGCAGCTGGCCCACTATGGATGCACAGTACGCAGGTTTTGCTTTATCAAACTGAAATAAAGTGTAAATGAGCTGTGGGTCAGATTTAGCTGTAATGTTATTCATATAAATAATTTACTGAATTAATGGTAATAAACAAGTATTAAACAGAAGAAAAAGAGTGACTCACTATAGAACTCAAATGAATAAAATCTTTATTTCTGAGCAACTTTGGTACCTGAAAGTTTATTTGATTATATATACAGTATATCTCCATCCAGCCTTCCATTTTCAGTAATATAGCTGAAAACATACACGTAGGAGGCAATTTACAGATGTTAAGCCATCTGGACAGCTTTGGACTGTGGGAGGAAACCAGAGCTTATATACACATATTTTTCAAATCTACACCAAAACAGGCGAATACCTCTGTCATATGGAAACAACTGCTTTTTGGGCTTTGTTTTCTCTGCCATTCATTTACGAGAGAAAATATCACATTGCTTTAGTCTCTTTTATGTGCGTAATATCAAATCAAAGGTTGCTATTTCATTGGAGAGGCAGGATTGGTACTGGATATTTAATGTTTGGATTGAAAACCAGGCCAGTCAGGTTTTAATTAACTGGTAAATTTTATAGAACCTTCCTTAAGAGACATCAAAGCTTCAAGTCCTCAGAAATTATTAAATGTCGGCACAAGGAAAAAGAGAAAATAAACCTGTACCCGACCTTCCATTTTTTTCATTTTTTTGTGTGTTTTAATTCTGACTATGTACACTGACCACAGTTAAATGACACTAACTTATCTAGTTCATATAAGCAGTGTCTACTGTGGCTAATACTGACATAAATGTAGCATTCTGTTCCCACGTGGTGCTCATCTAGAATTTAAAATGTACAAATGAAAACTACTGGGTAATCGGACCACTTCCCAGGGGACCAGGGAGATTAAGACCTAAATGCAACTTTAATGATGTTTAAAAGCCTCTCCATGGTATATTGCTCTGGACATGTATTGGTGGGTTTTACATTTTTAATTAAATGAAATATGTTTTAAGCGGTTCTTCCCTGCATTCGTGCGGTACTCTGTCTTCACACTATCTTAACTAATATTTCTAAGAAAAGCTGATAGGGAGGCCAAAGAGAGAAGCACTACTGTAACTGGCTAGCAGAGGCTGTGTTATGATAAATGTGGAAAGCCGCATACTGTGTGACCAACGTAATTTTAAAGGCTTACCTTTTATTATTGCAGAATCAGATATGCTAAAATATTGCTGCTGCTATAAAATTGTGCATTGAAATATTGCTCCTGCGTCTATCAGCAAGGTCTTGCAGACTTAATTGCTCTGCGGTTAGTCCCTAATCAGGCTCTTATGTGCTCTTTCCTTGATTGACCATGTGACCATGTACAGAACCAAAAGAGCGACACTAGCCTAGGGGGAATTAAAAGGGTCTAGATTCTGGGAGAACTGTTAAAAACAGCAAGCCTTAACTCAAATCCAATTTAGATATATACTGTATGTTGCAATATATTTCAATGCCATATAATGGTGTACAGGACATTCCCAACTGTATTGCACGCATTCATCTCCGGCTTCTCTTCAAAAGATATTCTCTGGGGGGTGTTTTCAGCTCCCCAAGTCCTCTTTATGTCATGTTCAATAAACACTAACACAGCTGACTGTGGGATGGCAAATTAGCCTCAATTGCACATTTGTCTGGAACTGAGATAGCACTTCGGAAGCCAATTGTCCCAGAAGAGGGAGTCTAGTAACTGCTGGCTGGGGCCGAGAGGGTGAAGTGGGAGGCGTCCCAATATGACAGACAAAGAAATGAACACGTCAGTTTGCTAAACGAGGTGATGTGTGTTTTTGTGTTTTGAGAGTATTTTGATCATAACCTATGCAATCTGTCGCAGGGTGTTAAGATGAGCAAAATACCTCTGAAACACTGAGAATAAAATTAAACTAATTTCCGACGACAAATTCAATGCAATGTATTAAAATAAGGTGAGTAAAATGACTACTGTATAATGTCTTCAGTGCAAATGTATATGCTGGATATGTGCTTGATGCATTTCACACGTAGCAAAGTCTGGCTGTTTCAATCTAAAATCTTGTCATGTCCTGTACAGTACATTACATTGGTAAACTAATGACACATACAAATTGAGGGTACAGGCATTTCAAAGCACAAAATTAATTTTAGAATGTAAATGTTTTTTTTTTTAATAATCAGATCTTTAAAACTGCCACTGAAATGGGAAAATGCTTAGACAATTTTCATTTGTGTACTGTAGGTCTTGACACTGATAGAATTTCTTACAATACAAATTATTACAAATTAATGCAATAAGGACAAATGTGACTCAATTACTCTTTGGATGTAATTCAATTCTACTGACTATAAATTACATTAAACAAAGAATAAGTAGGATGCCAGTCTCTATTTTCGTCCTGGTACTAACAATCTGGCCACAAGCCAGGGAACCCAAATGATCTTTAATCAGTTAAAATTATTTAATAGGGGCTTTTTAAACAAGATGTCATCCGAGATGGTTCAGTTTGGAACTTTCACTTTCAATGGTGTAAAAAAAAACAAGAGATATCTCCATTCACATTATACAAACTGGTTCAATGAAAACATAAGCTGATATAACGAAGAGTGAAAAGCCTTGAGCAAGACACTAAAACATCACAAGGCAAGGCCAAACAGAAAAAAACGCTGATGAAACCTACAGTTAGAATGCTTAAGTCCTTTTTTACAAGAGAAAGACCACAACTAATCATTCAGCATATGCTGGACAGGGTTAGAATTTGTAAGAGACCTACCTGGTCAATATTTTTTTTTGGAAAAGTGGTCTCTTAATGCTTTTACTGGATAATTTTGCAAATAATACTGAAACAAGATTAAAAACAAAAGTGCATTCCAGACATGAAAATATAATCTGAACATATCAATAATAGGAACAGCCACCAAAGTAACCTTTTAGCAAGGGGTTTAAGCAAGCAAACCACTGAAAGACCTGCTGTAAAGCGAGGCTGTGCTGGAGACAGTTAACTACTGGAGAGAAGGGACCTCTATCCTCTCTATCCCCTCCAGGACATTAATATTCCTAGCATGTCCTCCTGCTCTTTAGGGAGAAAGGGCTAGCAGGGAGAAGCCGTCAGTGGCTGATCCCCTAGATCCATTCTGGCAGCTAGCTGCAAACACATGCAGCTGCCCGATAAAGCAAAGTCTGGATGCACTCTCTCTTGCGCACTGCTGGAAATGGCAGCTGACCCCTGGAGCTAGGAAAGCTGTACAGCCCCAACAGCCTGCAGGTTTCACAACACCGACAGAAAACAAGAACAGAACCGTCCTTCCCTCAGCCAGTAAACAAGCTATCAGTGTCCCCAGCTTCCACAGCCACAAAGGATCCAAGTGCAATCAGTCGACGGAACACCTTAAACTGATGTCTTAAATTGTACAGAGCTCTGGGAGGAAGGTGAGATTCTGCTGTCTTAAAACTATGCCTCCACACTCTGAACCTTTGTTTTTTCACAAAGCTCAACCTCAGTCACAAGGGCAATAGAAGCCGTCAGTCTTTCTTCTACATAAAAGTTAAATTAAATGCTCAATATGTTCTAATGTGTCATTAATGAGTCTGTATGGTTAGCCCACAGTCACGTAGATCTGTTCAGTGCATTCTGATGTTAGAAAAACAGCTTTTCAAAATCTGTTTCAACTACTTCCACAAAAACCCTTTGCCTCTTTGGAAAATAACCACTGTTTGTGACTGTATAAGCTGTCAGAAGCAAGCTGTCAGAAGCCATTTCTCAAAAGCAGGAACATTTTAAGGCTGTGGGCCATGAGTGTGGCTTGGGGTCAGTCATTAAAGGACAATAATGTCAAGCTTCATCAGAGAGGTCTGAGGAGGAAGAAAGAGATCGGGTTCTTTCTGTGCTCACTGGCATACACCCATGCAGTTAAGAAGATGCAATGTTACTAATGTGAATGTGTATAAATGTTACAATTTTGTTATACATTATTCCAATACATGGTATATTTTTTAAATCAATAAAATCACAATTCACTTTTTACTTGTCTATAGATTTGTGTCTGGAAGCCTAAACTCTTTTACACATTATTTCTGTAACACACCATCCATATAGTGTAAAATGGAAAAAAGGAAAAGTGAAGAAAATGAAGAAGGTGTGCATTTATGAAACTGGCAAGACAACACTCCCTAGCATCACACAAATAAAAGAACAAACATTTATCAGGCTATCCCAATGCATACAGTGTTCAAATTCATTATCTCTTACACGTAAACTCTGTCTTTTTTAAATGTGTTATTCTTACAAGCACATCGTTGTTAATCTTGAAGACAAGCCTTGGCGTTTCCTTAGAAAAGTGCTGCTGGGGAAATTTGTCACCATGTCCATCTTCGTCTCTAGCCTGAGGGGAGAAATAATGGCCTATTTACGGACTTACAAAAAAAGGAACTAAGCAGCAAAACAAAATACTGAGATGTTGCAGACAAAAAGAAATAAAGAAAATAATACTGAAACAAATACTGAGCATGCACTGTACAAAATAATAGTAATGATAAGGAAATAAAAGAAAATGCACCCTTTGGGTCTTCCTCTTCATAAAATTGGTAAAAATACTCAAGTGAAAAATCTCCATATGTCAATAGGTTTACAAACACAACTATTTCATTTTAATAAAGCTCATGCTAATAAAGGGGGGGGGGGTAGAGTTCAGTTTTATAATGAGCATCTGTTCACCAATTTTCAATTTAGCAGACGTGCCATTTAGCAGAAACAAATTGCTATTCAGTTTCTCTCAGTTTGTTATGGAGGTGCAATTTCCTGCTCCTTTAACATGAGATCTGTGAGCCCAGGGCAAGATTGTCCTTGTCCCCTCGATTTTTTCCTCCACTGCTGTCTGCTACAGCCTGACCTCACCCTGCCTGTCTGGCTCAGCCACTGCCTCCTCGTTTTACTTCAGCATCTTCCTAGGTTTTGTTGTTTTTATCTGGCTTAATTCTGATCCATTCTTTGGTGTACAGTATGTGTGACCAAAAGATACCGAGCTTCTCACAGATGTCAGTTGCAGTGAATACTAGTTGCAGTTGCAGTTGCAGTGAACTAAACTGAAGCTAAAAACTGTAACTTGGATTGTACTGGTTAATAGATATATTTCCATTAATTGCATAAAATTTAAAGATCAGCCTAGGAATTTTATAGTTACCCTAGAAGATACACCTATAAATGCAAGGTAAAGAATTTAGGAATAGTACAAGTGAGATTCTTTAATGTAAGAATTACATGATAGGTATGATATTTAATTTAAAATACATTTTTTTCTAATATCTTGCAATTATTATTGGAAGTGTAGTGAGTATTAATTATCATAATTATGAAAAACAGAGTAAAAGAGAATTAGACATTATTTGCATTTGTTAATCACTCTTATTAAATTAGAAATCCTGAATAATATAGCTTTGTAGTTTTTTGTAATGCTACAGATGTAGTTCAGGTTGGTAGCTGGGTCAGTATGCATGGGCTGCAAAGGAACAAGTAATAGGTTTATTCCATGCTGAAAAGAGATGTAAGAAAACACAATGTTTTGGCTGTGGAGTCTTCTTTGGGTGCCACTCCCGAAGAAGGCTCCTCAGCCGAAACGTTGTGTTTTCTTTCTTCTCTTTTCAGTATGCTGCCGATGTGTCTACTTCAGTGCTGCCTTACCAATACCAATAGTCTTTCAGCTTTACTTATTCTTGCAAATATTTCAGCTTGGAAAGAAGAGTTAGTAGACACATGCAATAAATCTTGCATGCTGTGAACCTTAGGTTAAACAGCATACACCGCGCTAAAATGTAAAGCTAGAAAAGAAAGCTGAGATCAAGGGCGAAAAGGGTAGATGGAAAGGAGGAAGACAGCAGATAAGCTAGTTCATTTCAACAGTGTGGAGTTATGGGAAGGGCTCTGGCCTTAGAAATGGGTGTCTGTGGGTTAAGATCCAACCTGCCCTTGAACCCTTCAGTAAGGTGCTTCACTCAGACTGTTCTAAATACATACAGTAAATAGGTGCAGATGTGAGTTACACTGAGTAAAAGCATCATCCAAATAAATTAATTATATTTCCCTGAATCCAGACCTTTTGGTCTGCATTTCCCGTCTACACCTGTCCTGAACATTTCAGTGGCAAACTCTAAATAATGTGGAATGCAAACTTTTTTTGCCAAAGTGACAATGGGCGATATTTTTTTCCCATTCCCCTACCTCTTTTAAGGTCAGTAGCTTCCAGATTGTTTGGTTTCACTAACATTTATCTAACTCTATGTATTTCCTTTGAAGACACACCATGGGAAGCCAGTATAGACTCCACCATGAGGGGCAGACAGCTTCATTTTTAAAATCAAACAAAAGAATTTAACAAGGGAGTGAACAGACGTCTGAATGACTTCCAACCTTAGATCTTTTGAGCAATGCTACAGGAAAACCCAAATAACAGTATTGACATTGTCATTCTTATCTCATCCTATTCCTCTTTTGAAAGGCAACTGTGAGAATACACTATGAAGTGCTTCATAAACCTAAGTGAGCTCCTGAAAGGAATGATTCAATGTAGTGGTACAACTGAAACTAGGAGCTTTCACACCAGAAAGATTAACCCAAAATATAAAATAGATACTTAAATTTAAGCATGGAAAAGGTCTCAATGCAGAAATATATTTCTGATGGGTTTTAGAAACAGACATGATGCAATGTGGCAATCAAGACACAGAACTAGTTGGTGTGATATTTTCTTTGGTGAAGTGATTTTCTGCAGGTTATTAGGGTTTAATGGCTTACATTTTACATCAGGATTTTAAGCTTTGGGATAAATGACCTGACATTTATCCTCTAAATTGGCGTGACTCTCAAGATGTGAGACCGCACATCAAATCTAAAGCAGATGCAGGGAAGTACATGGACTAAATGTGGTCAACACTTAAGTGCATACAGTATGTGTTGTATTTCTGCTTCAGGCATTTAGTTAGAAAATTCTCTAGCTGCTAATTTCCATTTCTAGATTGTTCTGACAGAAATACTGTAGCACAAGCATTTCACTACAATGTGTAAATATATATACTGTATTCACTATAAATTTAAGGAAACTAAGAAATATGTTGCATAAAGACATACTGCATTCAAAAGTGAATATGAAAGACAAATCTGAAGAATTTATTGTAGTGGATGTTTTGCCAATTTAATACTGTAATTTCAAGCTTACAGCACCAACAACCAAGATGAATTAAATCATGACAGACAGAACAATGCTTAGTACTGGTGGAAACTGTCAGTGAATGACAATGTTTCTAATGGCCTCCCCTCTTGATGAATCAGGTTCAATCGTGACAGTTGCCAACGTTTTGTGTGCAGTAGAGGACACGCCAAGAACAATCTAAAATCTTCCTTTATCTAGCTAAGGCAAATGGAAAATTACACCGGGCGTTGATTTATATATAGTTTTCCATCTGATAACGGTGATGTCTTGGAGTGCCTGCCTTTCTTGAACACATCCACGAGCTTCAGTGAATCGCCTCCATGAACTAGAAAATGCAGTGTGTCAACATGACCACCAATTATAACCCCAGTTTACTGCAAAGCAATACAAATCTAGGAAACATCCGGCTTGCTCTGCAGCAAGATGAGCTTCCTGAGAATCGACTGCACACAATATGTCAGCAGTCAAAAAGGAAAGTAATTAGTAATTAGTGTAAGCAATTAGTAATAGGGGAAGACAAAATGTCATTAATCAAGTTGCCCATTTAAGATGTAAAACGTTATAATACAATCACACCTATGTTACTGGGTTTGTTTCATTAACATTCAGTGATTGTGCACCATTATTACAAGAAATGGTCCTCTTCATTGACCAACAAATGAAAGAAATGATGTTCAACATTGTTTCTATATGAAAAATGCTAATGAAAAAAACTACATTTTTAAGTCATGCTAGCTGCTAAAATATTAATCTAATACTCAGTCAGCAAATATTTTAGCATGTGTAATTTTTATGTGTCCCTTTTTGCCAGCCTTAACCACCACTAATTAATTCAATTAGCATTTGTATGTTAGCATATGCATGCTGATGATGTATGTGCCTTAGACTCAATTGAAGGTCACACTGACTGGTCTTTTTGCTTGCTGTTTCCAAGCTCTGGTGCCCATGGGAGACACATATGGTGGCAAAAATGTAGCAGGTTGAGTTTACACCATGTAACTTCAGTAGAGGTAGAGTTTGTTTTAATCTGTGTCTGTATCAATCCCTAAACACAGGCAGAGCTCTTTGTTTCTTCTGTGACATAAGCCGTAGTCACAGAATGTACTGTATGTCCTGCATCTAATTTCTAATACACTCACAGCCAGCTTGGTCACAAATTCCAACAATGGAAGAAAGTCTAAAATGCCTATTATAATAGGAAATGTCACCAAAAAATTAACCAGTCACATACTCTAATGGCTGATCTTACAGACCAAGATAAATGACAGTGCAATAAACCTAAAGCAACATTAGGAAGTACAAGATTAGTACTAATCAGGGTCTGTGAAACCACCGGTAAGTGAATAGTTACAAAATACTTAGTCATACAGTAATTGCACATTTCTTCACAACACTCCCAACGGTAAGAAATGGCTATGATTACAGATGCTGCCACTGCTGTAGTCAATTGCTAATTTGTTACCAAGAGCACTCGCTGCAGTGTACACGGTGATAGAAACACCAACTGAGTGTGTCCCTCTGGCAGATTTATGTGCAGTGTCAGTGCAGTAGAAAACATGAAGTGAAGGAGGGAGTGTACCTCTATACTGTACATGACTATGGACATTTACTGTGCATACACTCATTATATACTGTATATATGATCAAATATATCTGGTGTATACAGATGATTTGGGTTTCTACCAACATATCTTTAGCATTTTCTATTTCATTCATTCAGTTTTGTAATGTTCAACAGTTTTACAGATAAATTACTGACCCCTGTGATTTCTAGCGTCAATATAAAAAGCACCACTCTTCTGTATTTAAAGATTTTCAGGAGCACCTTCTCCATGGAAGATATATTAAATTGACATACATTGGGTAATTATATTTTTAAGAATAATTTAAACATATTAAGTGCTTACTTAAACTTGTAACTGTCCTAGACACCACATACAGTATTAGAACTAATCTTTAATTCACTGCAAAATGTCTGTTGAATAAACTGTATACACATGCAAAGCCTGTTTTTGGAATGATGTGAAACTACTTTTCGTTTTCCCCTGAGTAAGTTCAACTATCCTATTTTGGTTTCTCAAATTAACACAATGGACTGATAACTAGCAAATTTCAACAGATATGTTCAAAAGGAGGGTGTAAAAAAAGATGATTACACCCCCAAATTATGGTGTGGTTTA